ACCCTAAACTACGGTTTTAGTTCGTTCCAACTTACTTTTAGTTCCACCACCAACCAAACTTAAGTACTAACTAGGTTGGTCGTACGCACTCCTCGAACGACTTCTCTCTCTCTCTCTCTCTCTCTCTCTCTCTCTCTCTCCTTTTCACTTGGGGTCAAAGCATCGGTTTGATTATCTGAATATCTGAATCTTTTATTTTGGATTCATCTTAATTCTTTTTGCAACACCAACAAATTAGAATTGTTGGTCAGCGTCACTTAATCCATTTTTTCTTTCTTTTATTTTTTATTTTGTAGTTGAAGCATCTTTATGATTGCTTGAATTTCTTCATGGAAAGAAATGCTTTTGAAAATAGTTGGGTGCTACGCTTTTGTTTGTGATTTGTGCAGGTGGTGATTCTTATCAGGTCTTCAAGTAGTTCTGAGATTCCTCTTCACAGCTACAACAGATGTATTGAATAGCACAGTGTCCAATCTCTTATTTGGATTGGACATCCTGAGACTTGTTTTAGTTATAACCTTGTAACCGATGAGTTTGTTAGCCAGGTAACATGCTTACTCTGTTTCCCTTTCTCTAACATTTGCATGCATGTTGGTCTCAGTTGCCACATACATGGAACGAATTCGTTGAATGAAAGGAGAGCCTATTCAAAGTGGCTAGGTTTCCAATGGTGGAGAATTGCATGTGGATACAACAGTTGCATGTTTGCTTATGGCCAAGTGAGTTACTCAACTTTGCTATGAATCATTTTCTCTGTTATTCAGAGAACAAGTTATCTGTAGAATGCTCCCAAGCTCAAACATGTTTTCTTTGTTATAATTAGACAAACATTTGTTGCTGGTTCTCCCTAACATATTCTATCAGTTTTCTTTGTTATAATTAGACAAACATTTGTTGCTTGTTCCCCCCTAGCATATTCTAATGATAGTTTTGTACAGTTAAAATAACATCGATCTGATCCGGATCGAGTATCGTCTACGCTGGCCATGTTTGTGTTATTATATTCTAATGATAGTTTTGTAAGTATCGCGAGCTAGGCTGTTCCGGGGATCCGGTCATGTTTGTGTTATTATGATGTCATCGAGGGTGTGGTATATAGATGTCATCAAGGGGCATTTTGTAATTTTTTTAAATTTGGAACAACTAGGATAAGTGTTCGAGGGAACGTGGGGCAAATGGTAAGGTGCACAATTGTGTTCAAGCCACCACAATTGTGCACAAAAAAACGGCACGATTTTCGTATGAATCCCTGGCGATGAGTGGAGCACGCGCGGTGCGCATGTGCACTTAACTTCGTACGAAGGAAAATTTGGTGGCACTTCTTATGCACGTGTTTGGGGGAACGTGGGGCAAATAGTAGGGTGCATAATTGTGCATAAGGCACCACACTTACGCGCAAAAAAATGGCATGGTTTTCGCGTGAATTGCACGAGTTGAGTTGAGCGCCGTGGTGTGCATATGCACTAAACTTCATACGGAGGGTAATTTGGTGGCATATTTTGCGCACGTGTTTTGGGGAACATGGGCCAAATAGTAGGGTGCACAATGGTGCATAAGCCGCCACAATTGCGAGGAAGAAAGTGGCACGGTTTTCGTGCAAATTGCATACGTTGAGTTGAGCGCACGCGGAGCATATGTGCAGTGAACTTCGTACGGAGAACTATTTGGTGGCACTTCTCGCGCACGTGTTTAGGGAAACATGGTGCCAGTACTAGGTTTTACAATTGGGTACAGACAGCCACAATTGCGCACAAAAAAAGGCACGGTTTTCGCCTGAATCGTACTCATTGAGTTGAGCGCGCGGTGCGCATGTGCACTAAACTTCTTACGAATGGCAATTTAGTGGAACTTATTGCGCACATGTTTGGGGGAACGTGGGGTAAATAGTAGGGTGCAGAATTGTGCTCAAGCCACCAAAATTGCGTGCAAAACAAAAGCGCGGTTTTCGTGCGAATCGAACGAGTTTAGTGGAGCCTGCGTGGTTCGCAAATGCTTTGAACTTCATACGGAGGGCAATTTGGTGGCACATCTTGCGCACGTGTTTAAGGGAACTTTGGGCAAATAGTAGGGTGCACAATTGTGCACAAAGCCGCCACAATTGCGTGCAAAAAAATGGTACAGTTTTCTTGCAAATCGCTTGCGTTGAGTTGAGTGCGCGCGGTGCCCATATGCACTGAACTTTGTACGGAGGGCAATATGGTGTCACGTCTTGCGAACGTATTTGGGGAAACGTAGGACAAATTGTGGGGTGCACTATTGTCTTGAAGCCGCCACAATTGCGCGCAAAAAAACAGCACGGTTTTTGCGCGAATCGCTCGCGATGAGTAGAGAGCACGGGTTGCTCATGTGTACTCAATTTCATACGGAGGGCTATATGGTGGCCCTCTTTGTGCACGTGTTTGGGGGAACGTGGGGCACATAGTGGGATGCACAATTGTGCCAAAGCCACCACAATTCCGTGCAAAAAAACGGCACGGGTTTCATGCCAATCACACGCATTGAGTTGAGCACGTGGAGTGCGCATGCGCACTAAACCTCTTACGGAGGGCAATTTGATGGCACTTCATGCGCAAGGGTTTGGGGGAGCATTGGACAAATAGTAGGGTGCATAATGGTGCACCAGCCGCTACAATTACGTGGAAAAAAAGGCCACGGTTTTAGCGCAAATCGTACGGTTTGAGTTGAGCCATGCACAGTGAACTTTGTACCGAGGGCTATTTGGTGGCAATTCTTGTGCACGTGTTTGGGGGAATGTAGGGCAAATAGTAGGGTGCACAATTATGCACATGGCGCTACAATTGCGTGCAAAAAAAAAGACATGGTTTTCGCGCGAATTGCATGCGTTGAGTTGAGCGAGTGCGGTGCACATGTGCACTAAACTTCATACGGAGAGAAATTTGGTGGCACTTCTTGTGCATGTATTTGGGGGAACGTGGGACAAATAGTAGGATGCACAATTGTGCTCAAGCCATCATATTTGCGTGTAAAAAAAGGAACGGTTTTCACGTGAATCACGCGTATTGAGTTGAGCGTGCGCGGTACGCATGTGCACTATACTTCGTACGGAGGGTAATTTGGTGGCATCTCTTGCGCACATGTGTGGGGCAAGGTGGGGCAAATAGTACGGTGAACAATGGTGCACAAGTAGCCATAGTTGCGCACAAAAAAAGACATGATTTTCGCGTGACTCGCATGAGTTGAGTTGAGCCCGCGCGGTGCGCAAGTGCACTGAACTTCGTACGGAGGGCAATTTGGTTGAACTTATTACGCACGTGTTTGGGGGAACGTATGGCAAATAGTAGGTGCTCAATTGTGCACAAGCTAACACAATTGTGCATAAAAAAAGAAGACAGTTTTTTTCGAGGATCTGGCCATATTTGTGTTATTATGATGTCATCAAGGGTGTGATATATGGATGTCATCAAGGGCATTTTTGTAATTTTTTAAAATTTGGAATAATTAGGACATTATGCCATGTCATCAAGGGCATTTTTGTAATTTTTTAAAATTTGGAACAATTAGGACATTACGGCCACCCACAATAATTTTTTTAAAATTTTGAACAAATTAGGACATTAAGGCCACCCACAATCTGGTGCTATATAGAGATGTCTTTAAAGGCATTTTTGTAATTTTTTAAAATTTGGGACAATTATGACATTACGGACACCCACATCTCTATAAGGCAATTTTGTAATTTTTTAAAAATTTGGGACAATTATTACATCATGACCACCCACATCTCTATCAAATCACAACTGGCCACGTGTACCTCAAGCCCCTAGCACCACGGCCACCGACATATCTATCAAACCACACTTGGCCACGTGTACCTACGACAGCTGGCTAGGTGTACCTCAAGCCCTAATGCCACGTATGTACTATGATGTCATCTAGGGTGTGGTATATAGATGTCATCAACGGCATTTCCACCCACATCTCTATGAAACCACAGCTGACCACATGTACCGTAAGCCCCTAGCGCATTTCCACCCATATCTCTATCAAACCACAGCTGGCTACGTGTACCTCAAGCCCCTAATGCATTTCCACCCACATGTCTACCAAACCACAGCTAGCCACGTGTACCCCCGGCTGGCCACATGTACACGTGTACCTCTAGCTGCCCACCTGTACCTCAAGCACTTAGCGCCACGTATGTATTATGATGTCATCAAGGGTGTGATATATAGATGTCATTAAAGGCATTTTTGTAATTTTTAAAAAATTGGAACAATTAGGACATTACGGCCGGCCATTACAATTTTCTTAAAATTTGGAACAATTAAGACCACCCACTACAATTTTTTACAATTTAATTTTTCACAATTTTTTTTAAATTTGGAACAATTAGGACATTACGGCTACGCACAACAATTTTTTTTAAATTTGGAACAATTAGGACATTACGAACAATCTGTGATGTCATCAAAGGTATTTTTGTAAATTTTTTTAAATTTGGAACAATTATGACATTACGGCCACCCGCAACAATTTTTTTAAAATTTAAATTTGGAACAATTAGGACATTACGGCCGCCCACAATCTAGTGCTAACAATTTTTTTAAAATTTGGAACAATTAGGACATTTCGACCGGCCACCCACAATCTGTGATGTCATCAACGGCATTTTTGTAATTTTTTTTAAAATTTGGAACAATTATGACATTACGGCCACCCACAACAATTTTTTTACAATATGTGATGTCATCAAAGGCATTTTGTAATTTGTTTTAAATTTGGAACAATTATGACATTATGGCCACCCACAACAATTTTTTTAAAATTTAAATTTGGAACAATTAGAACACTACGGCCACCCACAATCTGGTGCTAACAATTTTTTAAAATGGAACGATTAGGACATTACGACCACGTACCCATAATTTGTGATGTCATCAAAGGTATTTTTGTAATTTTTTTTTAAATTTGAAACAATTATGATATTACGGCACAATTTGGACATTACGATCAAAGGCATTTTTGTAATTTTTTTAAAATTTGGAACAGGTATTTTTGCAATTTTTTTAAAATGTGGAACGATTATGACATTACGGCCAACCACAATAATTTTTTTAAAATTTAAATTTGGAACAATTAGGACATTATGGCCACCCACAACCTGGTGCTAACAATTTTTTTAAAATTTGGAATATAATTAAGACATTACGGCCACCCACAATCTCGCGCTATATAGAGAGATGTCATGGTGACACATGCATTTTTTGTAATTTTAGAGAGAGATGTCATGGTGACACATGCATTTTTGTAATTTTAAAGAGAGATGTCACGGTGACATATGCATTTTTGTAAATTTTTTTTAAATTTGGGACCTTTTGACATTAAGGCCACGTACATCTGTAGCAAACCATAACTGACCACGTGTACCTCAAGCCCCTAGCAATTTTGAGCACATTGCTCACGTTTATCATGCTTTCTAAGCACCTTTTTGGAGATTGGGTATTGAGGAGGATTTTATTTCCCTCAAACTTATTTTAGTTTTTCAACGTGGGATTTAACCATGGTAATGTAAGCTAATACGAATATATATTTTTATTATCAAAGGTAAAGCAGCAAGTGGTGTTGTGGTGCCAGTTGGTTACCGCTTATGTCTTACACCTTGAAGGTCCTTATTTGTTTTTCTTGTTAAAAAAAATAAAAATAAAACGTTGGTAAAAAATGTTTATAAAAGGTTGGTAAAAAATGTTTTTCTTGTTATGAAAATAAAATGTTGGTAAAAGAAAATAAAAGTAAAAATAAAAAGTAATGCAACAAAAAATTCAAAAAAAAAATAAAAAAGTAATACAAATTTTATTAATTTTTTTGTCAAAAAAAAAAAAGATAATACAACAAGTATTTCATGTCAAAAAAATAAAATAAAAAGTAATACAACAAGTATCATGCTTTTCAAGCACGCATTTAAGCTGCGATTATTGTAAGCTTAAATTAGATTTGTAAAAGTAATACAATATAGGCTTGGAGCATGTCGGTTGTTTTTCTCTCTTTCATATATGAATGCCTATTGTTAGATTTTTTTTCACTTAAGAATAAATGGTTTAATTATATTTTTTATTTTTATAACTTGGTGGCCTTTAACATAAATTTAAGAATATTAATTTAAAGACAGGGTTCATACAATGAGGCCATTTAAAATCTCTTTCTCTCTCTATTTTTTTTATATGAAAGTCTCTCTCTCTATTAACAATCTCTTCGGCTAAATTTATTTTAGAGACCTAAAAAATTAGATTTTTGAAAAATTAAAGTGTTATTTTGAAAATTGGTACGCATTATAATAATTTCTATATTGATAACTAAAATATTTTATTTTATTTATTAATTTATTTGCATTATAAATTATATAATATACTATTTTTTCTTGCAGTTGTTAGTAATATATTTTAAATTAGATGATATTATAAGATATTTTAAATTTGTTATTATTTGTACGGATTATAAAATGTAAACCAACTATTTCAATTTCAGTATAATATTCAACAAGTATTTCTTATCAAAAAATAAAATAAAAGGTAATACAACAAGTATCATGCTTTTCAAACACGCATTTGAGTTGTGATCATCGTAAGCTTAAATTAATTTAGATATATAAAAGTAATAAAATATAGGCTTGGAGCATGTTGGCTCTTTTTTTCTCTCTCATATTTGAATGCCTATTGTTAGATTTTTTTTTTTCACTTAGGAATAAATGGTCTAACTATATTTTTTTATTTTTATAACAGAGTGGCCTTTAACATAAATTTAGGAATATTAATTTAAAGATATGGTTCATACAATGAGACCATTTAAATCTCTCTCTCTCAACAATCTCTTCTACTAAATTTATTCTAGAAACCTAAAAAATTAGATTTTTGAAAAAATAAAGTGTTATTTCAAAAATTGGTACGCATTCTAATAATTTCTACATTGATAATCAAATCTTTTATTTTATTTATTAATTTATTTGTATTATGAATTATATAATATCCTCTTTTTTTTTTTACAATTATCAATAATATATGTTAATTTAGATGATATTATAAGATATTTTAGATTTCTTATTATTTGTAAAATAAAATAATTATAAAATGTAAACCAACAATTTCAATTTCAGTATATAATAATATAATCAATTAGGTTGTAATAATTTTAGATTTTGTTTCAATGGATTAGGGTTTTCTACCAATTCGAGATTTTGGTGGCCATTTTTTCATCGATTTAATCCATGTTGTACTATAGTCCATTCATCCATCATAATCTTATGCTTGATGTAAATTTAATAGTTAACAGTAGTTCTTAGAGAAAAAGAACATCTCAATATTCACATATAGATGCAAAAAAATAAAAGCTCTTCATGGAGTACTCCCATTTCTTATTGAATTCTTAAAAAACAACACTTATAATGAATTTAAATAATCATTTTGGATTTTTTAAAAAGTTGAATCCGACCGATTCTCGATTCGAATCGCCGATTCACAGATCCGAGAGAGTTTTTGAAGTGTCCGATCCGGGTCACCGATTCATTTTTTAAACCCCTGCAACAAACCAAGGAATATCTCAAATGACGATACTTATAAAAAAGACAATCATACACAACAGTTCCTTGATTGTGAAACCTTCTCATTCCTACACTTCACACCACCCAAGCCATGCTTAGTTTACATTAACTCAATTTTTTGGGCCTCTGCAAAAAGGAATCAAATGCCATTGTCTACTGATATGGAGCTCTTTGTCTCGACCCTCTTGTATTTTGGGATCAAATCACAAGCTAAAGAAGAAAGAAGGCCCGTCTCATGAAGTAATGGATAAAGGGGCTCGCTGCATTGCTCGCTGCATTTTAAGACTGGGAGAGACTGAAACAATGGATTTCGGCAAGAGAAAGGTGGGGCACAGAGGGATGAATCAGTGCTTCAGGTGATGCTCAAACAAAGATGCCATCTCAATCTGCAAAACCCGAGCAATGTATTAAGTTAACATCCTGATATTTGTCCACATGTACGTGTATGTCAGCATGCACGGGTTCAGCATATGACAATTTGGACACTCTCTCTCTCACTCACTCACTCACTCACAAACAAACACATACAGGTGCACGACACATGTCGGGGCGCAAAGCCACACAAAGCAATGGCAGGCGCGTTCCAATCTATTTCACTGCTTAGTTCATTTTTCTGCTTAGTTCATTTTTTCTAGTAAGAATTCATTAAAACCAGAATTTTTTAATCGAGTATAGCTTTACAAATCTAGTTTTTTTTTTTTCCTTCAAAGAAGAAAACTTTAAAATAAGGAAATCAGCTCCCAATGTTTAAAAAAGCGTAGGCAGCGTCCAGGTGGCCATGGGGTTCCAGGCTGCCCAACGCTTAGGTGGGCATCCAAAATTTAGGTGGTCCAGTTGAAAAAAAACAAAATATTATGACTAATAATGATTAATCCATAAAATTTTTGATAATCCATAAAACCATAATCCATAAGAATTTTAATAATCCATAAGATCATAATCCCAGTTGAAAAAAAAAAAAAAAGTTGAGAAGAGAATTTTGATAATCCATAAGACCACAATTCATATTTTCATACAATGTTAAAATAGTAAAATCATGCAAGCATATACTGATAGTCTGATACACTGTAGATTAGACTGTATACATAAAAATTAGATAATAGAACTAGAAACTAAAAAGTAGAAACTATAAATAAAAATATATAAAAATTTAAAAAATATACAGTCAAGGATACAATAGTCAATACCTAACACTAAGAGTCTTTAGTCGTCATCATAAGAAAAAAGAATAAGGTAAGTCTCATCGTATGCATCAGATTTGAGGCCATCATTATCAAAATCATCTCCTTTTTCAATATAAGGCTCGTCCTCCTCTGTTTCTTCTGAATCTGTCTCTTCCTCCTCTTCTTCTACCTCCCTCTTACTATGTGCAAATGAGGTCATAGGATCTTGGCTGCTCTACTATTTTCCATCTTTTTGTACCTCCTTGAACTCAAATATTGTATAATTTCTTCTTTTGTAGCCTCAGGAATATTTCTACACGGGGCAACATCCCTTTTAATACCGACAAGATGTTTTTTAAATAGATAAATGTCTCTATTAGTATCATTTCACAATAATTACATTTAATATGATTTTTACCATTTGGATTTGGGTTATAACCATACTTCCAACTTGGATCACCAATTCTAGAAGAACTTGGAAAAGATATTTCCATAAAACAAAGCTTATTTTCATCATTTTCTGGTTCTTTTAGATTCAAAAATTATTTAATCTCATCCTGAATAGCTTCAAAAATCCATTTATAAAAAGCAATATTCCCTTTAATACTAACAGGATGTTTCTTGAATCGGTTAATATCACTATTAATATCTTTTTCACAAAAATTACACCTTACACAATTTTTATCGTTCGGTTTTGGGTTAACCATACTTCCAATCCGGATCACTTCTTTTAGAAGTAGTAGAAATAGATCTATTCAAATGATAATAATTTTGTTCCAATTTTTGTTTTACAAAATTCATATATTGTTTAATCTCTTTTCTGATAGCTTCAGAAACATTTTTACAAGGGGCAACATCTCTCTTAATAGTGACAAGATGTTTCTTAAACCACTTGTACCAATAAATAAGCATAGAATAATCTACCCCATCAACATTAACTTTAATCTGGCATAAGTCTAACTTACCCAATCAATTTTAACTCCCATATTATCCTCTTAATCAGTAGACTCAACTACTTAATACCCAATCATAAATATCGCACTACAATAGATAAAATATGCATCTTCAAGCTCTAAACCTAGATGAAAGGTAGGTAGTGAAGGTATCAAGCAAGGGCATATGAACACGGTGATAAAATAAGCTTCCAAAGCGTAGGTACATACTTATAAAGCAGAAAGAACAACTAAGCCAAATCCAGTTTTCGTCCATGTTCTAATGATTCAAACCAACATATAAATCTAGCGGGAATGAATTCAATTGAAAAGAAAAAAAAAAATCCATCTACCGCAATCAAAGTAGCCTCAGCACCTTTGTTCCCAGATTTACCCCCTGCTCGATTCAAAGCCTTCCCAACATTGCCAATTATTAATCAATGGCTTCTCTCCTAACTAGTTCTCTCTCTATTACAAATGATAAAATGAAAGATATATTGCCATTATATTCTCTAGAGAAACCAGAGTCCATTTGGATCATCAATGTCCAACAAAAAGATGGATGCTGATACAGAGAGAATTGAACCCATCCTAACAGGACATGAACCCCAAAAGTGGGTCCAACATCTCCCCATCTCATCTGATCATTTCATTTGAAAAAGATGAGCACAATGGAATACAGTCTTTTCATAGGCCACTGAACCATGTTGCACTTTTCATATTCTCTGTTATAATGTTTTTTCATTGGTGAAACATAATTATAGCAATTATGTTTCAATGTTATGCACATGTTGTCAATGAAATTTACGATTTTGGAAATATGGCATGATATGAAACAGTACTCATAAGATCATGTATGCATCAGGATTGAATATTCGAAAAAGACATGCTTTTCTATAGCTGTTATCAATTAAAATCGTCATGTATGACAATTTTACGTGATCCATGTTTTCACATGTCAAGACTCCAAATACACATGGAACTCCTGCAAACACAACAAACACATTATTTCCTATAAATGCATATAAACAAAAATCCGATCTAATGCTTCATGTCAACCCCCAAGAATCAGACAGCATGGAGGAAAAAGAATGTATACTGTAGATTATATGGTCTGTGTAGACCCATAACGTGTTAGGCTCATGACCATAAGATGAAATGTTTGATGGCAATGGAATTAGTGGAATCCCAGGAACAGAACATGACCTTAATGGCTCTTCCCACTCTCTCATCATCTGTCCATCGTTCATCTAACAGTCATAAACCCAAACTATGATTTCCCACCAATGGGCTATAGAATACTTTCCCCAATTGATCACTTTGTACAGTGGAAATGGTAAATAAAAGAGACCCATGAATGTTCACCTTTACAAGATATAGGCTAAAATGACTAAAGAGGAACTGATCCTCAAAGAACAACAAACAACAGTATGAATAACAACTATTTATCTGGCGATACAGCATAACTTTGCTTTTTCGCAAGTGAATAAAACATGGTAACATAGATCGGGTTAGAGCAAAGAAAATATCTATATAAAACCTACTCTTCAAAGGTAAACCTGAATAGTGATTTATAAAAGAAAAAAAAAAAAATTAAAAAAGACAAACCTGAATTCAAGCCAGCAGAAAGTATTCCAGATGCAGCTGAATTGGCAAAAACGTCATAGTGTTAGTCTCTCCTCTTACCTGCCATAAAATATCATCAGGCTCATGATTTCATTTAAGCTCAACTAACAAGGAAATCATGACAATAACATGGCAGGAGAAGCTCTATACTTTAGTATGCTTGAAATTTTCATAACGTGCATGAACCCAACCAAAATCGCAGGAAACAAAAAGGAAGGAGAGATAGTACTACGTTTCTGTTATCCAGCATTTCATTGAGATTTAACACAAAAGCACCATGGCCACCATTGCAATACAGGCACTGCTAACACCAACTTTCGGACAATATTGATACACAGATCACATTTTTTTTTTCTTTTAATTTTTTGAGATAACACAAATATCGCAGATATTGTGGCTGAGATTATTGATACTAGGTATTTAATGGCAAGTCTTTTAGCATGTCCCTAAAATGGCTAAGGAGGATAATGATTCCCTTGTAAGAAAGAGAGAGAGAATCTAGGTCTTGGCCACGTGGGATAAGTACCTCTTCTCTTAATATCATGAATTTCTGTCCTATTCCTTGCATGACTCATTGAATATATTTGAGTTTCAATGGAAGTGCACTGTGTGTGTGGTGCATGCGTGTGTGTGAGAGAGAGAGAGAGAAAGAGTAGTTGATCCAACTAGACAACAGATAACTCGACTAAAATTCAGCTACAATGACAATTCAAGGTAGCACATGTAGTGCCTTGGAAAAATGCTCCATAAGAAGCAGATGCATGAGAAGACATGTTATTCACATACTGGTTAGGGAGATGGCACATAAGTTGTTTTCTATGTACGCAAGTAAGAGCATGGACAGAAACAATCAGTTGTTGTATGTCATTTGTGGCGTACTTCCATCGCCCATGCGAATAAGAGGAGAGCCAACGACACCTTGGTCCTATAGGTACACCAGATACCCGTGGACTAATGTTGTGCCGAAAAGTAAAGCCTGGGGCCACGTGACCTGAGTGCGGTGCCATCACACCAAAGAAGGACCCTTCAACTATAGCCCTATGCTAGCGGCTGCAGAGCTGTACTAGGCCATGGCCATTACACTCAGAATGTCGCAAAACCCTGAGGACCAAATTTGGGTTCAATGGGATCTCCCCGAAGTGGTCTACGCCCATGCGGCCTTGCAACTAGCGGGTTTCACACTAGCGTGGTGCGGATTCACCAAACCAGTCCCCGAAAATGGGGATTACGACAACACTTTCTGACAGCAGCTTCCCCAACCCACGATGCCTTCATCTAAAATCGGAGAGAGCTCCAAAGTTGATATATTCTAGATCACGCCAACCCCGTCATTTTGACCAACGACACACACTATGGCGTGACCGAGAACCGCAATGCTCTGAGGAAGAAGGTGTCTATAGAACCAAGGTTTCAAGGAGAAGAAGCCTCGAATTCCGTGAAGTGCAGCTCGACATCCAAACCTTGGATCACCGCAAGGACGAGTTCAATGCAACCACTTCGCGAGGAGCTACACACTGGTACAACTCTTGCATTCAATCCAAGGTCTGATGAATGCAAGTCCCCAAGTCACCAAAGAAGTAAATCCTGTCGGAATCTCTTTTTTCAGTTACCTCCCAAATTAGACAAATGCACGAACCAAGACCAAATCAGCCCAAACTTGGTGTAGACAACCTCCTCTCTAACTTGCAAGTAGAGCCAGGAACCAGAACAAAGCAGCTCGAAGAAGCATTGGCAAACGAAGTTCACAAATCTGGCCGAACTTTCTGCCCGACGGAAAAAGCCATTACAACACAATTCAAGGACATCAAAATGCTCACAATCGAGAGGACATTGAAGATATGCTGCTGAAACAGTTGAACCATTACCACAAGTTCCAGAACTAGCTTCCGGAGCAACCTGCATGCAGGGACGGTTTCATCATTCGTGCAAAAGTTCTCAGAGACATTTTGGTCATTTGTGCCTAATTTCAAGATTTATTTCTAATTTCTTAAATTGTAATTAAGCTTGGCTTTTGAGCATTCACCCCTGTTCGGTGAATCCTTTATATAAGCAAGCTTAACCCATTTGTAAGAGGCAGGAGAAACCACCTCTAGAAAAGCCCCTTTGTGAAGCGCCAATACCCCCAAAGACTAGGAAGAATCAATGCTAGAATGTGCTTGCCTCATTAGTTCGTTGTCCCTTGTGAGTTCTCAATCCCCGCAGGAGAGGAGAGAGGGAGAGAGAAACCTTTGAGAGTGAGAGAGAGAGGATACCCCTGAGTGCACAGTCCCTCGAGCACCTCGGTCGTGCGGGTCATCTTCCATGTGTCCTAATCCGAGCCACCCCTTCTCTCTCCCTCTCACTCTCACCTCCACACGTGACCTCATCCTCTCGGCAGCCTGCTTCTGCTTGCAAGCCCACTGACCCTCGAGTTTCCTCACATCCCCTCTAGCGGCCAGCCAGTCCCCTGAAGAGGGCGACTAAGGATGAGGGACATTCGGATCCCATTCCAATAGCGTAGAGAGAGAGCTTGAAGAGGGCCCCCATCCAAACTGCGCTGACAAGCAGCTGGAGGGCTTCATAATTGCTCTAAGAGGGCTATCCGTCCCCGAAGCCCTCAAATAGTGTAAAGAGCATCCGCGCACCAGTCACAAATCTCTCTCACCGTCGGCACCTATCCGCAAGTAGGAGGGCCCACGCGCGCTACGCATCAGACCCCTGTGGTTGTTCAAGAGAGGGTTTCTGCCTTCTAACCCCAGGGAAACCAGGACCCCATCGGCATCAACTGGCGACGTGTCACCCTACCATTGGCTCAAACCATCTTCAAGTACCAACCTCTCTTTCTCCTTTCTCTACTATTGCTATAGGATCCCTTTGTCCCTCCTTCATCCGGGTTGGGGATTTCTACATCCCCATACCTGCGGCCTCACTCGGGATGAGCAGACCATTAGGCCCTGTCTCCCCCACATGTTCCTTGTGTGGCCTAGCTGGTCCTATCCACCCGCGCCATGCATGCTAACTCTGCAGCTCGGGGTAGCTCAAAGGCTGACCCTCGATAGGCACACGACTTTCTAGACTATCGAAAGTCCTATAAACTAATGCACTTGGATGCAGAAGGCCCGAGGGCCTCATCAACTAAATGGGTGGGTACCACATGTACTCCGCCCCTAACCCCACTAGAGGGTGACCCCGCGGCCACCCCAAACACCACTCTGAATCTCACACACACCTGCAGGTCCAAGGAGACTGCTGGCCATGGAGAAGGACAGACATCCGTTGCTCCGCCCACTACTTCCGTGCCATCTACCACATGGCACTCGAAGAAATTCCCTTCAAGTACCATCCGCTCCACATCTCGCTCCATGCGCGCACAAGCCAGTCATTCGAGCCATTGCGTGACCTAAAGGGGGCCGAATCAACAACGCCGCCCACTGCTTCACTATCAGGACATAGAGCGTGGTGCCTTGCCCATCCGACCCATGGCCCCAAGGCTGTCTCGAGCCCAACCGACCCAGGACACGCCCCAGAGACCCCCAAGCATCGAGATCGACAGTGGTACAGGGCCAGCAACTCCTCAAGTCTACCCGGGGCAAGGCAATGGGAAAGTTTGACGCCCCCCCCCCCCCAACCCGCGAGGCATGTCACATGTTGATCTTTCACCTGGGATGTGCAACAACTTAGGTGGATCGGATGCACCTACAGTCGGCAAGGAAGCTCAAGTTGGATCAGAAACCTCCTTCGCCCAAAACCTTGGACCACTGCCGATCCCTTACTCTAAGTCAACTCACTCCCTGAGCAAATCCCGCTATCACTTCAAACGACCACATGCTTCACCGGCGCCTCAAACTGATGCCAGTGCTATCCCTGTCCAAGCATCCACGCCTGCGCAACCTCTGTTCTGCCCCATTGCCGCTGCACCTTCTCCAGCCATGCAATGCCAACGAACTCCCCCACCTAAGCCTATTGAGGAGACTGTCGCTCCCTCGAGGATCAGAACTCCTCAAACAAGGGCAACCCCAGCGTCGTCTGCTCCTCAAGGCAAAGGAGCATCGGGGGACCATCCCGCCCGAAGCTAACAAGGTCAAATACGACGTAGTTGGGCATCTGAGGAACCTTCCTGCTCTCCTGAGCATCTACATTGCCCTCATCCTATCCGAGGACCTCTGAATGACATTAGTTCAAGCACTCTCCACTCTCGAGGTCTATGAGACAAAAGGCGAGCGAGTTGAGGTGGACCCCACCATACTCAACAATTGCATGACTATTACATTCTCAGACGATGACTTACAACTCAGGGAAAGATCGCACAACTGCCCTCTCTTTGTGTCAGGCGAGCTGCATGCCTCTCCAATCAATTGCATCATGCTAGATGGAGTGTCCGTGGTGAACCTAATGCCCAAGAGGATCCTTTCCCGGATCGGATTGAGTACAGATCAGCTCGAACCCATTAGCTTAACGGTTCAAGGATACAATCAAGCCAATGAGAAATCGGCAGACACGATCTGGCTCAAACTCAAGATCGAGGATCTAAGTGCCACCACCCTCTTCCATGTCATCCACCAACCACCAGAGCCTCTCCACCCAATGGTGGCATCCTGGCCCTTTGCTCATTGGGGTATGAACATTGTAGGTCCCATCGACTTGCCCTCCTCTTTGAGGCATGTGATTATATTCGCTGCGACCGATTATTTTTCCAAGTGGGTCGAAGCAATCCCTCTCAAAAAGGTCCCTGACGCCGTGATGGCTAACTTTGTCCGCCACCACATCATATAGCGATTTGGTGTCCCTGACCGGATCACTTCAAACAATGGCCCTCAATTTCACAGTGGCCAAATTTGGTTTCACATGGAAATACTCGACCATGTATCACCCAAGGGCTAATGGCCTCGCCAAAGCTTTCAACAAAACTCTATGTGGTGCCTTGAGGAAGTCTGTCTCCACCACCAAGAGGAATTGGCATGAGAAGCTCTCTGAAATTCTTTGGGCCTACCGCATCACGACTCGAGGTCCGATGCAGTCCACTCCCTACTTGCTAGTGTATGGGGGCGAGGCCGTGGTGCTGCTAGAAATCTAATTGTCGT